CTTTCATTTGTTTAAATAGCAACTGACTTTATCTAGGCTTGACACATGGTTAAGCTGTATTTCCCAGAGCACTTACAATTAAATGGGGGCTTGCAACTGAATTTTGGCCAACAAAATATGGGTGGAAGGAATGTAGACAGCTTTCAAAAGGCCCCTAAAAATCTTCCTTTTTATCCCCTTCAGAAACCTCAGAAGCCACATATTAGAAATGATGGTGACATATATAAGACAAAAAAAAACACCCCCCCCCCCGAGTTCCTGAATGATTGCATGAAGAACAACAATGCACTTTTATTTTATTAAATATTAAGTTGGGAGAAGCTGTTGATTAAGGCAACTACTATTGCTTATCCTATCTAACACAGGGAGTGTCTGGTTTACTTAGTGGTCCCCAAATCAAAATTTGGGGCTTAGCTGGTTCTTTGTGTGTCAGCCACTTCGTGGCTTTTCACAGAGCCCGGCATCTAATCCAGTATCCAGCAGACATTAGGGCTCCTCTGGGTGAGAGCTCATGTATGCTTGTAGAATGAATGGGATTCCAACAGACTGACAAGTAAACAAGGTTTCCTCTGCCATCTGAAATAGACCATGCCCTGGCCTCTGACCCCACTATAGGTACATTCTTCACCCCCTGAACAAGCCCATCTCAACTACCCATGGTCTCCGTACATGGCCCCCACAAGAAAAGCCCGATGCTGGGACCATCCTTTAGAACAGAGGCTGCTATGCAGAGAAGAGGTGTCCCCAGCACAGTCTTTTCTCTTCTCCTGCCGACGCTAATTACAGTTTGCTAAATGCAAACTGGGGAAACATCTCGCCCACCCAAAAGAGTTCCAGAATTAGGTTTGTTGTCTTCACAGTAATCCGGAGCAGAAAAAGCTCCTCCTCCTTCTAAGTCTTTGATCTTATTTTCTCCCAATGCATTTGGAAAACAGAGAGGTACACTCATAGAAAAGGTGAGATTGAAACTGCCAATCTTCCCAACCTTAGGCCCTTTCTTTTGGTGGCTGGCTCTGAGGCAAAGCTGGAGCAGAAGTGATGGCGTGCAGAAGACACCGTCGGGCTGGCAGGGGGCTAATTACCAGTAGATGTGTGCAGCACTGTGGTGGCTGACTGGGAATGCAGTTATACAACTAATTATATTGGCACAACAAACTGGAGCTTCCTTGAAGGGCCCCCGCCCATGGGACCACCATGCTGTCATTTTGCTACACAATTATTCCTATCTTCCATTTTAGTATCACTGGTTGAATCTCCTCCTGCTGTTAAAATCCTTCTCCTCCTTCTAGAATAGGGGTGTCGAACTCAATCAGAGAAGGGGCCAAAATCTAAAATCCAGCCTAAATCGCGGGCCGAATGGTTTACTGAACAGTCATAAACTGTCATTGTGATGGAAACACAGCGGAGTGCAGTGATGACAGCGCGGTGTGGGCCACATTGCAAGGCCTGGAGGGACGGATTTGGCCCGCGGGCCTTGTGTTTGACACGTGTTCTAGAACATCACTAAGAGTCACACCTGGAGCAGGCTTTTCTGGTTTTAAGTGTGATCTGTAGCCCCTAGCATACAACCACGTGCCATGTCCCCAGCCACGCGAATCCATCTTTCCTCTGTGCTGTCACTGGACATAGCATGGCCTCTGTGACTCTGCTTCCAGGGTCTGGGCTGCAGGTGTCAAACCTGGGAAACAGAATTGATGGGTACCGAAGGTCTTTTCAAGTTTCAAAACATTATTTTTTGAATACTTGGGAATAATTTTTTTAAATATCATAGCCTAGTGAAAAGACAGTGGCTTTGACACCAGAAGAAGAGTCTGAACATCCAATCAGTGGCTTTTGGCTGAATGATCTGGGGAGGACTTACCTGTCATGTCTCTGGGCCTCAGTTTCCCTATCTGTAAAATGGTAGTAGTGCTGACATCCCTTCACAAGCCTGCAGAGTAAAGTAAGTTAGGTCGTGACTGTGAAAGCACTTTGTAAATGATGGCATTCAGGGTTTATATTAGCCATATTCATTTGTAAAAAGCCTGAGCCTCTTCCCACTCAGGGAATACCGTCACCACTGCTGGGTTATCCATCTCCATACACACAACTCAGATTTTGAGGATAGTGCCTAACAGCCTGAACAAAGACCTTTATTGAGAATCTCCAGGCAGCTTCACACTAATAGTGGTGACAGCTTTGGCCACCACTTGTTAAGCTTTAGCTAGGCCCTTGCCACATAAACTGAGTGAAAGACTTAAACAGGCTTAAGGTAAAGTCTTGGATTTGCAAATGAATATTTATGTGATCTTGAGAAAATTGCTTCACTTTTTGACTCTTCATTTCCTTGTCAATAAATCAGCAGTGATAGGGCCTACTATGAGGGACTGTTGTGGAAACCCACTTACAGCATACAGACACAATGAATAGAAGGCACGCAACAAAAATGAGTCTCTTTCTCCTACATTCCTTTCAGCACCAAGAATGTAGAATTCCACAATATGAGACATTCATGCAAATAAATAGGAGTGTGATAGATGATGGGCAACTCCTAGGGGAGTGATGTCAGAGAAAGATTTTGCCAGAATCTCTCTTCCAGTATCACAACGGGACCCCTGCACAAGCCATTCACCCATGGTGCTCATCACCACAATATTTTACAGTGAGCATTTATTTTTTTTATTAAAAATAGAGTATTCGCAACGATGCGTGCGATAAATATGCCGGCTTTAAACCTTTTAGAAATATTAAAGGTTTCCCAGCTCAATGTTTGACAGACTTGATTAATCCTTTCCACTCAGGAAGATAGCCGTGGTTCGGTTTTAAAGCTCCAGGAGTGCTCTTGGACAAAGGGAAAGAAAGAGAAAGAGCTCTCAAACGAGAGAGAGAGAGAGAGAGAGAGAGAGAGAGAGAGAGAGAGAGAGAGAGAGAGAGAGACCCTGATGCCACACAGAACAAAGAATTCGAAAACTCGGAGGCTTCACGGTACATGGAGAGTTGGGAGCTGGGGTGGGGCTGAGGGGGAGAAAAGCGCTTTAAAATCTCCTCTGGAGGAGCTTTAAAATGAAAGGCCCCTGTCTAGCCTGACCACATTAGTCTAAGAGTTTTCTTCTCAGCTGGGTTCCTAAATGGATGATGTAGGAGGGAGCACTGGCAGGGCAGACCCAGGGCAGTACAAACCCAGAGAGGAATGCAATGCAATGTACAATCGCCCCTTCTCATCATCCAGGACTATTGCCAGCCCACCATCTGCTCTTTCAGTCACCAGGGCTATTTCCCATGGGGACCCCTCCAATCCCCAACTGGAGTTTCAGCTCCTCTAAGAAACAGGAAATACATTTTGGCTATTATTTTATTTATTTATTTATTTATTTATTTATTTATTTATTTATTTATTTATTTATTTTGCCCCTCAGTGCCTACCCTAGCGTTTGTATAGAACAGGTGCCTAGCAAACATTTTTTAAATAGAGTCGGTGTTTGATGAATCCTTAACAAAAAGACCTAAGGATACATGGGACAAAACCCCTACTTAAGAGTGAAGCTTTAGAAATTACTAAGATTTTGCCTCCTTCTGATTCCCACTCCACAAATGAAAACTGAGCTTAGACATGAAACCATTGAGATTTCCAAATAAATCCTCATTTGACAGACAGTTACTGGCCATCCTGACTGACGTGGACATGGTCCCCAGCTTAACCACAGTGCCTGGAAAGGTGACTTGTCCTCATGTGTGAGGCACTAGAATGGATGTGCATATGGGAAATCATGCAGGACAAAGGAAGATACCCCAAGCCCACCATTTTGGCTCCTGGGGAATGTTAATTGAAAGCTTTGAAGATGAGTGGCAGACCCTTGAGCTGCACACTGAAGGACACTGGGAAGATAGCCGAGGGAAGGATGCACACCTCCCCATATCACGTATACAGTCTTGAGCTGTAAATTTCCACGTAAATTACAAATAAAACACTTGTTCTGCTAAGTAGCCTCCCCCACAAAACCTCTAGGTGTCTGCCCACTCCGCTGTGGTGTTTTTCTTTGACATTCAGGTCAATCACCAACGCCAACTCCTACTTCATTTATATGGAAACATTTCCCAACACAAAACACTGATGTATTTGATACATGATATGGGGGGGAAGGCAAAGAAGTAATTCAATTATGTGACTTAATCATTTCAAATGGCTGATGTATTATACAAGGATCACAGGATGCCACCCCACTTTCAACTGAGGGCAAATAATTGTTCCATAATTTCTTAATTCTCCCACAAGACACTTTAAATTAAGGAACGTCAATTTGCCAAGCCATACTGCATTGTATTCTTAAATTGGGCCTGAAATAGCCACACGATGAAAGGTAATAAGGCAGAGAGTAGAGCCCAGAGTGCCTGGTGCTGTGCAAAATTGTTTAATACGGTCAGACCCTTTAATCTTCATATCTACTGATGCAGAAAGCAGCATATTTCTGTCACTTATGATAAGAAACATTACTCTTTAAATTCCTTGGTGAGGCCTGCCGATCTTAGACAGCCAAGATAGCAGGAATCTCCATTTCTGTGTCTGTGAACATTTCTTCCCCCCCCCCCCCCCTTAAATTGGTTTTATTCTAATCCATTTAGTCTCCAATCTAAGTCAGAGACAAGTAACCCTGACTTCAACCACACAGGAGAACAAAGGCTTGTGCCTTTCAGTTCTCAGATTCCCCTGGCCACCACCTCCTTGGATAAGTCAGTGATTAAACAAAGAATGAACCTGAGAGAGTGAACTACTAAAGGACCAGCAGTTAGTCCCAGAAAGTAAGAGAATTGGAACAGCTTTTGAGAGATACAAAATCATGCTCAAAAGTGGAGGGTACAGAAGGGGGAGATGGGGATGATTTGAATTATTTGCATAAAAGAACCAAGCAATTTACTCACTGGGTATCCTAAAAAACAGTTTGGTCAATGTGTTCAGGCTGGATGGGGGTGATGCTGGGGAAAGTTGGATCCTGAGGTCTGGATTGAAGAAAGGATGATGTTTGCCCAAGATTGCCAGGGCCACGAATCAGGAATAGTCACTGAGAAAAGCCAAGGACATAGCTGCAATGAAAGAAGTATATGTCAGTTTCAAAAGCAAACCACTGAAGGAGAAAAGAGGATGAAGTACACAATGGAGCATCTTTCTGAGGCATATGTGATGATGCATGAGGTGGACCTGGGGCACAGAGATCATAGGAATCATGCCAGGCCAAACAAAAGGGAATGTGTGCATCTGTACCTAGCCTTGTGCTGGACAATGTAGAGGGTACAAACTAAGCATAAAACATTTGCAAATCTTTAGTTTAAGAATTTGGACTTGGCCGAAACCGGTTTGGCTCAGTGGTAGAGTGTCAGTCTGCGGACTGAAAGGTCCCGGGTTCGATTCTGATCAGGGGCATGTACGTTGGTTGCGGGTACATCCCTAGTGGGGGGTGTGCAGGAGGCAGCTGGTCGATGTTTCTTTCTCAGTGACATTTCTGGCTCTCTATCTCTCTCCCTTCCTCTCTGTAAAAAATCAATAAAATATATTTTTAAAAAAAGAATTTGGACTGGGTTATACATACATAGTCTAAAATTCAATAGTACAGATTATACATTTTTTTTTCTTGGAGTGAATCTATCTATAGAATAAATACCTAGAAGGAGAATTATTGGGTAAAAGAAATATCTTTTAAATTTTGATAGATGCTGTCAAATTACCATTTACAAAGGCTGCACAATTTTACACTATCTACAGCAATATATGAAAGGATAACTTTCCCATGCTCTTACCAACAGAGCCAATCACATTTCTTTCTTTCTTTCTTTCTTTCTTTCTTTCTTTCTTTCTTTCTTTCTTTCTTTTTTTACAGTTTTTTATTTAAAGAGACATGAGATATAAGGCATACAAATGGCAATCATAGTGCTAATATTTAATGAATGATCACAGAAGTTTAGGTACAGTTTTTAGTCTCTATATTAATTCATTTATTCCTAACAGCAACCCACTGATGTACAGACTATTAAACATTAAACAGATAAGAAAATAGGAACAGAGAATGTAAGAATCTTGTGCATGGCTGAAGCTATGAAAGACAGAGTTGGGATTTCAACACTGGCACTCAGCAGTTCTTTGAAGCCCAAACTCTTAACCGATAGCTCTTTTTCCAGAAGGTGGGATGTTATCTATGGTGTGTGTTATAACAGGTACACATATAGGAAAGCTGAGGTGGGGTGTGAATGCAGGAAATCAGAGAGACAGTTCTTTCCACTTAATGAAAGTAGACACAGGCTATTAAGTGGGAAAAGTTGGGCTATAGTGATTGATAAGGAGCATTGACATGTTTTCCTTATTTTTTTCTTATCTCTTTCACTGTAAAAAACATTCTATAAGTGTTCATGATGAATTAGAATGGTTAAAGCTTTGAAACTGAATGTGTGGTATAGTCAAGTGAATGCGGCACATTAAGTACCATAGACTGGGTTCAAATCCAAGTTCTACCACTCTTTAGCTGGATGACCCTAAGCAAGTTATGTACCTTTTCTGAAACTCACTTTAAAAAGAAGTGAAATGAAAAAAGAAAAAGAAGCCTATAACCCCAGAAAGATTTTTATGACAACTATGTAATAAATATCATTAGTTGCAAACAATTTTTACCTACCTATTTGACCTTATTCCTCCATGCTTCTCTTTACAGACCCTCTGCTTTCATCAAATTAGTGTCTTTTCTTAAACATGATGGGATTTTCCAGTCACTTCCATTTCTGCATCCCACTCTCTCATGCTGAAATACTCCCTCCCAAGTCATATCTGTAAGAATTCTACCATTGCACTGGCATGTGTGCTTCAATTGGTTGGAGCATCTTTCTATACACCACAAGGAGGTGGGTTTGGTCCCACTTTAGGGCACATGTGGGAGACAACTGATTAATGGTTCTCACATCAATGTTTCTCTCTCTCTCTCTCTAATTTTTTAAAAGAAAATAAAAAATAATTCCACTAGTAAGCCAGCTAGGTCTGCATTAGATGCCAGCAACTACACAAAGTGTGGCTTCACCAATGCCCTTTGCAAACCTACCCCTAAGTGGTTTGAATTCCTAAGTACTATTGGACTCTACTACTTTTAAGATATTAATCATAATAATACCAGTAAACAAGGACTTTAGTGCATACCAGGCACTGTTTATAACACTTTATATATTTCTACTTCAGTTAATCCTCTCCACTTGTGATAGGCATTGTTATTATCCCCACTTAAGACATAGTCATGTATGTTGGTCATATTTGCAGGTCTTTTCTGCACAGCTGGACTGAAGGCTCAAAAGGGCAAAGAGAATCTGTGCAAAATATTTAAATATGTATGTTTAGAAGTCAAAGAACCTGGGTTCAAGTCTTGGTCCTACTGCTGTGTGATATTTGTCAAGTTATTGAATATCTCCAGGCATCAGTTTTAATTTAAAGAAGGGTATGTTGATAATACCTATTTTGAATAGTCATTATAAGGTTTAACATAGTTTGTAGATATAAGAATTTGAAACAAGGTGTGGCAAATGGTGAGCATTTAAATGTCAGCTTCTGTTATTATTTAAATAGCTATATATGTTTTCCAACAAAATGCTTGCTTCACAACTTCACATCCCTATTCCCTCTCCCTGTGCCACTTTTTCCAACCTTCACCCATCACTTCACTACCAACTCAAAGAACTTAAGGTCTAGGTCTCTAGTATCTACCTCCAGCATTTCCTGCCCCCTCACTATGAACAGCTCCCTTTTTCGACTCCTCTATTACTTTATGCCCAAGTCTCTTGTACCATTTATTTCATCATGGTGCAACTTCTTGTTATAATTCCTGCACAGAAAAATGAATTCCCCGAGGATGGACAATATCTTGTTTATGTTTAATCCCTAATACTTTACTACATTGATAGCTACCAGAGGCTGAGTGTTCATTATATGCCTATTAAATGAATAAACAGATGTTTTAAAATAAATACCCAGTCCTGTCCTGTGTAACTAAGTTGGTTGGGTGTCATCCCATGCACCAGGAGGTTGCTAGTTTAATTCATGTTAAGGGCACATGCCCAGGTTGTGGGCTCCAACCCCAGTAAAGGACTTGAAGGAGTCAGCCAATCAATGTTTTGCTCTCACATTGATGTTGCTCTCTTCCTCTCCCTTCCTCTCTCTCTAAAAGTCAATAAACTATTCTTTTAAAAGTAAAACCTTATACAATAAAGGGCTAATATGCAAATTGAAAACAGCAGAATGACCTGTCCCTATGATGTGCACTGACCACCAGGGGGCAGATGCTCAATGCAGGAGCTGCCCCCTGGTGGACAGTGTACTCTCACCTTAACCGGAGTGCTGCTCAGCCAAAAGTCCTAGCCTCCACGGCAGCACTAAGGATGTCCCACTACAGGGAGTAGGCTGTCAGTAGGACATCCCCTGAGGGCTCCTGAACTTTGATAGTGTGCAGGCCAGGCTGAGAGAATTTCCCAAATGCACAAATTCCATGCACTGGGCCTCTACTTAATTAATAAATACTCAAATGATAAGAGAGGAAAAAGTACCAATTCTTTGCTCACTACTATGTAATTCACCAAAAAGTCATTCAGTCTCCCAATCAAAGCTTAGAAAAGAAACCCTACTAAAACTAAATGTTTTATAAAAATAGAGGAGAGGGCCGAAACCGGTTTGGCTCAGCGGTAGAGCATAGGTCTGCAGACTGAAAGGTCCCAGGTTCGATTCCAGTCAAGGGCATGTACGTTGGTTGCAGGGAACATATCCGGTAGGGGGTGTGCAAGAGGCAGCTAGTTGATGTTTCTCTCTCATCTATGTTTCTAGTTCTCTATCTCTCTCCCTTCCTCTCTGTAAAAAATCAATAAAATATAAAAATAAAAATAAAAAATAGAGGAGAGGGTCCTGTCAGGGACTCATGGCATTACTATCAGCCACACATACACTGGCCACGCTGCCAAGCTATTGATGTTTTAGTGATCAACATTGTAGAATTATAGAATCACCAGCAGTTCATCAAGTGAAGACACTAACAAGTACACTGGCTGCTCAGATATAAACAGAGCATGTGGAAGGAAAATAATAATTAACTCATAGGAGAGGGGCAAGTAAACATTCTATTAAAAGGGGGAAAAACTCCCAAACAAATATAATCTCCTTCCATTATGCTATGAGCATTAAAATTAATGGTAATGGTGTTGGTTTTTCTGTGGTTTGAATAGTCATTGTATTTAACAAGCCGAAGTTAACTTCACAGGGGAAAAGGAAATAAATTAAATGTGCGGTGTCTCCGGAAACTTCATTTTCTGAGTGAATAGCCAAGTTGATGCACATCACCAGAGTGTCTGACAATCAGGTTTCCATACTGGTGTGTTCTAAATGGGAAAGGAAGCCAACTCTTCATTTAAATTATATTGCAAATCACTTCTTGCCTGCTGAATGGCATTCAGCTGCAGTAGGTGGCTTTCACTGTTGGGGCCCCAAATAGGACATTGGCTGATTAATGCTAATTTGAAATGTTTTCTTAGAGGGGGGAGGGGATGGGCACACTATCTTGGTGCATGTGAGGCGAAGGAAATTTTATGGCGGGTGACTGACTCAAAGGCCAACAGCATATTTGCCATCAGATAAAAATGCACATTCACAAACATACCAAGACAAGTCAATTATTCCCTGATTCACTGTTCCCTGGGTCCCTTTGTGTAAAGAAAACTATTCATGCTCCCCATCAGACGGATACACAGAATCATAGCAAACAGGCCCCCGATTCAGCTAGTCTATATTATATTTCCCAGGACACCTTCCTCTGTGGAAGTCATTAGTTTTGGTCTTTTAGTTCCCGATTTATCAAAACAGACATTTTACTAAGTGAGCTCAGCTTTAGCTCCAGACACAGAACAGTTAGGAGACGCAATTTTGATCAGCTGGAAAAAGGAAACAAAACATTCTTTGTAATTTTTGGATGTGAGTGACTGGGAATTTGTTTTTCTCTACCTTGATAACTGATAGGTGGATAAAGACTAAAATCAGTGCTCAAAAGCTTATGATTCTTCCCCCCTTCCCTCAC